TGTATAGACACCCCTTAATTCAGACTTAGGACAAAGACCAACCATCCTCGCGCAGGAGACCACCAGCAGGAGGTCACAATGGTGTCCCACAAGCACATATTCCACAGAGAACGTACGAAATGGGCACATGGACACTGGATGCACAAGTACACTAGCCACAAAAGAACTGAGAATAGTTCAGATACTTGTGGTGCCTCCCACGGGAGTGCACTGGGGGCTGCAGGCCAGGGTCTTGGTTGGGACTCCTTCCCGGCACCCTCCACCCAAGGAGACCGCTAGGTGGCCTGACGCACCCCCACCACCACCGAGAGGAGCGCCTAGAGCGGACGCGCGCGCCCGCCCAGCCGCCCGCTCCCCCCGCCTCCTCGATGCCGGAAGTCGGCGCCCTGCGCTCGTGCGCCCGCCGTCGGCTGGCGCCGTCGCTGCAGTTGTGGACGCCGGTGGGCTGGCGAGAGGAGCGACATGCCGGTGCGTGGAGTTGTTTACTTTGGGGGTTGGTTTTCTTTCGGGGGGGAGGCTCGCTGCCCTCCGTGGCGGGGCCGCCGGGTCGCGCGTGGCGGACTGTGGAGACTTGCCCGGGCAGCGCTCGAGCCGCCCGCCGGGGCGCCAGGCAGGTGGGCCCGGCCGCCCGGCGCGGGGCACCCTGCTCCCCGCAGCCGCTTCTCCCGCCGCCTCGGTGCCCGGCGGGCGCCCGCAAGTTTGGGAGCTCCGCGCCGCGCGCACTTGGTGGTTTCGCCCCCGAGCCTTTTCTCGGAGGCGAGTTGGTGCCCGGTGCCCTTCGCACAGGGCGGCCACGCCGATGCTGCAGGCCAGACGTGGAAGCCTGGGCCAGAGAGCGCCCTCGCGAGTGCTCCCCTCCCGGGCCTCCCCCACCTCCCCCCAAGCCAGCCGCCTCGGAGCCCGTCTTACTGAGCACCCCGGGGTGTTTGTTTTCTTAAGTGAGGCGATTGCGTTCAGATGGACATTGCGTTCGGCTGACCATCTGGTGTCCGGTCGTCACAAAACCTCTTTCACAGGGGACCTCTTCAAAAGGCAAACTCGTGCCAAGTGACTGTGACTCCTAGCGATCCCATGGGACCGAGTAGCGCTGCCCCTGTGGATTCCCGAGGCTGCAGTCTGCAGGGCAGCGGCTGCCACACCTTTCCTCCAGGGAAGGGCCACGGACCTTCGGGTGGCCAGCTGCTGCGTTGGCAGGGCCACGCACCTTCGGGTGGCCAGCGACGCCCGTCACCACCACGTCATCGTAGCAAAGGGCAGCTTTCGCTAAGGACTTGGAAAAGGCAAACTTATAAATACGAACATTTTGATGAAAGCACACAGGCTTTAAATAAAGAGTAACGTTAGCAACTGAAGTGCCCTTGTCCCTCCTGAACAGGAAGATTATTATTTTTGCATGTCATAATATATATATATATTTTTTAATTCAGTTGGCAAGAGATTTACTACATCCTTCCCTGGAGGAGGAAAAGGAAAAGCATAAAAAGAAACGACTTGTTCAGAACCCAAATTCTTACTTCATGGATGTAAAATGTCCAGGTAAAAATTTAAATCTTAATTCTTTTACTGAGGAAAACGCCTATAGGAATGTCCGTGTGGCTCCAGGACCCCCTGTTGAGGAGAAATGAGATTACCAAACTGGTAAAGTCATAAGGGGCATATTTAAAAATAATTGTATTCAAACCTTTGTAGAAAAGTTTTGGGAGATAAAGGTGGGAATCCAAAGGGGACAATATTTGACTGATTAAAACTTTAAGCATAAAATACATACCAGAGTTTGAAATTGTAGGATGGAAAAGAAAGTGCTGGTTATATGTTGAAGTTAATATTTTGGATGCATTCAGTATGTTTTTAAAACTTTTTAAAAATTAAAAAATGTGGTTGCATTATCAGTTAGCTACATTTGTGGCTTGCTGTTAGTGCTAAAGTCCTTATTAGAAATATATTTAATAAAACAAATCAATACCATGTCATCTTTTGCTTCTCTCTTTGCCTTTTGCTTGTTTATTTTAAGGTTGTTACAAGATTACCACCGTTTTCAGCCATGCCCAGACAGTGGTTCTTTGTGTTGGTTGTTCAACCGTGTTGTGCCAGCCTACAGGAGGAAAAGCCCGGCTTACAGAAGGTACAAGAAAGTTTCACCATTGCCAGTTGAGCAGCATAACAAATACATGCATCCACAGATTTGATTTTTATGAGCAACTATCAGTGATAAAATACAAAAATCAAAACATCACTCCTTTTCCACATTAATGCACCAAGAAAAAAAAACTGTTATGTAGATCATTTTCCATATACTATGGTATTTTATATTATGTTTTTATAATACCATGACAGTATTTGAGAGTTCTTGTGATATTTGGTAGAGCTGTGAATTTCTTCTTCTCACTGGATTGTCAGACCTGATAAGATCTGAATTATGTCAGAAGATAAATTTAAGGGCAGTATTTTATTTTTAAATTTAATTTATTTTTAATGAATAATTTTATTTTGAATTCTTATAACTCTTATAGCAATCTATACATCAATTGTATCAAGCACATTTGTACATATGTTGTACATATGTTGCCATCATCATTTCCAAAACATTTTCTTTCTATCTGAGCCCTTGGTATCATCTCCTCTTTTTTTCCCCATCCTCCCACCCTCATAAACCCTGGATATTTATAAATTATTTTTATTTTCATATTTTACACCATCCGCTGTCTTCCTTCACCACCATTTCTGTAGTTTGTCCCCTTTGTGTGTGTGTGTGTGGGGGGGGGTGTCGTATGTCAATCATTGCTATTGGTTTCCCCTTTAAAAGCAGTCTTGCTCATAAAAGTATACTTGCAAGATTCTGAAACCATTAAATTGTGCCATGATCTTCATATGCTAATGAATGGTTAAATGAGTGCATCGGTACCAGTTTTCCTAAGTGTTCTGGAAAGATTCTAGTCAAAATTACTTTCTTACAAAAGTAATTCTGTGTAGTCCAAAAAAATTAAGAGTGTATTACTTACATTAAAGAATTTTAACTGAAAAAAATTTAACTGTTGAACTCAGGCTCATGGCCGTAAATAGACATCACTGTAACATTTGAAGGACAGGAGTGACAATTACAGTCATGTTAGTCATATATTTATTATTAGAAAATTTCCGGTATAAAAGGGTGAATAACAGGAGGAAGGTAAAAGTGAACAGGAAAGATCTAGGAAGCAAAGCTATGGATAAAGGCATAAACATAGGTATGTACATATGTAAATATATTAATTCATAAAAATAGAAGTATTGGCCTATGTACATATATGACAATACATTGAGGTAGTGGATAGACTTTGGGCCTCTACTCAAGGCCTCCCTCAGTGCAAGAATACTTTGTTCTAACAACCTTGCATTCTGTGATGCTCACCCTGCCTGCACGGTGGGTGAAGACAAAGCGGTGCATAAGCAAATGTGGTGAAGAAAGCTGATGGTGCCCGACTATCAAAAGATATAGTGTCCGGGGTCTTAAAGCCTTGAAGTTAAACAAGCAGAGAAACAGCAAGCCCACATGGAGAAGCACACCAGCCGGTGAGATCATGAGGTGTCAGTGGGACCAGGTAACAGGCATCTGAAGACCCCAAACAAGCAAACATAGTGTAGAGAAAGAACCTGCCGACGAGTCGAGTTGAGTTGTCCTGAAATGGGGAGTGAGGATTAAGGAAAAAAAGAGACAGAAAGTATTGGGAGGGCAACAGTGAATACTGAAGCCCAAAGTTTATTCTACATCTTCCTTTTATATATGCAGAAACAACCCGGGGTTACAATTAGTCTATTATGACAATATATCAGAAACTCTATATTCTGCCACGTCAAGGAGTCTTTGATAAAAATTAAACCTGTTTTCCCAGAACTTGCATGCGTCTTAGTCCTTAGTCTCAATGTCAAAGCGCAGACGCAAACGGCAGATACTGACGCCTGGGTTGATATCTTGTCAGCCGTTTCAAGGCTGAGTCTTAATGGCCTTCAACAGAGGGGGAGTTGGAGCAGAGACCCCAAATCCATCAATAGACATTGGGGCAGCCCCTCACAGAAGGGTCACAAGGAAGGGATGAGTCCACTAGGGTGCAGCACAGCACCTATGAAACACACTATTCCTCTGGTTCCTTGACGTTTCCTCACCCCACACTATCAGGACCTTTCACTTCAGGCTAGGCTGGAACATGTACACTGATACACAACACATGGAATCCAGGCCAGATAAACCCCTCAGGAACAAATGGGAGTAGTGAGGCCAGAAGGGGAACAGGGAGGAAGGGGAGAAACCAATCGCAATGATCATAACAACCCCCCACCCCACCCCCGACACACACACACACACACACCCTGAGGGAAATGAACAACAGAAGCAATGCAGGAAAGGAGGCAGCAGTGGGTGTAAGAGGTTATCAAGGGGTTACCAGGGGGGGAGGGAGTGAAGGGAAAAAACTGATAGCAAGGACTCAAATAGAAAATAAATGTTTATAAAATAATGATGGCAACATATGGACAAATATGCTTGATAAAATGAATGTATGGATTGTTGTAAGAGCCCCAATAAAATTGATTGTTTTTTTAAAAAAGGGTGAATAACTAAATGTTCATTTAATATTCCTTAGGCTGTGGATTTTTTAACTAAAATGCACTTTATGACACTAAAATGCTACTAAAGATAGATTTGTTTAACATGCGCTCACGATTCCTTTGCAGGCTGTTCATTTAGAAGAAAGCAACACTAATGCTGAACCAACTTCCTGAATCCTGTTATGTCACAGGAAGCCTTCTGCGCTCAGTAATGCTGGTTAATCTACCAAGATATTGTCATTATTTACCGCCCCCAAAGTACAGGGCAGTGAACTCCTATTTTGGTGTCAGTCCTTTCAATAAAGTTTAGATTATGGGAAAAATCTCTCCTATTTTCTGTATATTTGAGTATACCATACATTTGTAGTGTATTGTGTAAATCTGTTACACATTTTTAAAAAGACATTCTGATTAATTTGTTTCTCATGAATAGAAACCATCGATTTTTAATTTCCAGTCTTAACCAAATTGCTACAAATTAGGCCTAAATGATTAGAAATGGAGTGAATGCATTAGTTTGTTAATTACATATTGTAACCATAAAAACACAATACATGGAAGTGCAGTAAAAGCTGCCAAAGCCTGAACTTGTGTAAGGTGGGAACCTGTTATAGTAGGAACACAAAAATAGTTTCCACTGAAACAAACAATAGAAATGGCTCAAAGCTTTAGAGCCTGGAAAACAAAGCAGTCCTGTCGAGTTCCGGTTGTCACACGCTTCCCTAAGATTGCAGTCACAAATCACAGTGCCCTTTCAGGATCACGTAAGGGGGGTTCAAGGGTCACTTAAGCCACAGTGCCAGGATCAGAAGGAAAGGTGACCGCGGAAGCAGAAGCTGAAGGGATGTAGGCCCTTGAGCCGTGAATGCACACTCTAGAACAGCGCCCCTGGGGGCGGGGCGGGGCTCTGGGCAGTAATTCCCAGAGAGGCGCTGAGTAATTTTTCCTGAAAAGGGGCCGTAGTCCCAACCAGTTGAGGAACCTAGGCTCTAGAATATGGAAAAGGCAAAGAAAGCTTTATGTAAAGCTTTTTCTCGTACGCATATGAGTGTCTGAATTTGTTTCTCTCGTCTCCCCAGACTGACATGACCGGTCAGATCGTTGTTTTCTTTTGGGGGTGGGGGGTGGGGCCGATGATACTGTAATTCTTTGGGTTAGAGAAATACAATGATTGCGAGTTGATAGGGGTTGAGGAAACAGACCACAATTTATTTTTAGCTACGTTTTAATTACTGAGTGTACATGAAAGCAACAAGCACCATGGGAAATCTATCTTTCCACTTTTCTCTGGCCTAATGACTGCCTTTTGGTCTGTGGACAGGTCCACATGAGTCCAATGTAGTGGTTTGGAATTCCATTTTTCGAAATGTTATCCAAAATTTCATATGATCCACCGAGACACCAATAAACATATCTCTTGTGTTCATTGCTTTCAGCCATGAACCTTTCACCTTTCCAGATCAAGAATCCATCTGAGATCTTCATCCATGTTGCCTCATAGGGTGTGTTAGTCTGGGTACTTTAAAGAAACAAATCCACAGAAACTCGTGTATAAGAGAGAGTTTTATATAAAGGTTGTGTGCATCAATAAAACATTCCAACCCAGTGCTGCCCAAACCCACAAGTCCAACATTAACCCATTAACCTGTATGTCCAACACCAATCCACAAAGTCCTCCATCTCACAAAACATACACTATGATGCCGACTGCAGGAGGAAAGCCGAGTCAGTGAATGTGTAAGCATCTCAGCACTGGCAGGGGTCTCCACACGGGTGCTCCAGCACCCAGGGCTGCATCGGGGTAGGTCCATGTGGCTTCTCAGGGATGTCTTGCAGGAAGCGAGCCTTGCCAGCTAAAGCAGGGAACTGGCTAAGGCAGCTGCACCCTGGTCAGACCATCACAAAGCAAGAGACCTGAGAACTAGAAAGGCGAGGCTCACTGAGCCATTTATCGCTCCGGTCTTCAACTAATCCCACGTGTATTTATCGGCCAGATTGGCACAATAAACCTTAACTATTTTATCCAGCCTGCATCATAGGGGGGGGAGGATCTACTGATAAAATAGATATATTATTCCATAGTTCAATCACATCAAACAGAATTGTACAATTGCTTCCATAATCAGTCTCCAAACACTTCTTTCCTGGACTCCTTGATATCATCTCCCTCTTATCTTCTCTACCCCTTTGTATCCCCCACCCCAGCCCTCTGCTCCAAATCCTTGTTATATTTGCTTTCCCGATAGGCTCAACATCCCTGAGTTTCATTTAACGAGAAAAATAGAAACAACACAGTTTCAATAGGGTGACACCCCAATGGCGATGCACCTCTGACATACACGCTAATATGAGAAACATAAGCAAAATATAACAGAATGGCACTGGTGCAGCTCTTTACCAGGCTGTCTGGTCCCTAGCCAGCAGACTGGATGCCCTACCTTTGTGCCTGTTCGGCTGCTTGCTCCTACTGCAGTGGACCCAGTATTTGTCCTTTTGTGCTTGACTAACCACTCAGAATAAAGTCTTCCAGGTCCCTCCCCAACTCGAGGTGCTTCATGGTTGCATCGCTGGTTTTTTATGGATGCGTAATATTCCATTGTGTGTATGTACCAGAATTTTTTTTATCCACTCTTCGATTGTTGGGAATTTAGGCTGTTTACAGCTTCTAGTTCCTGTGAACGATACTATGATGAACATGGGGGAGCAAACGTCTGTTCGTGATCTGCTTCTTCGTTCTTTTGGGTACATGCTCAGTGATGGTATTGCTGGGTCACATGGTATTCAATTGCCACCTGTTTTAGGTATCGCCATATCACGTTCCACAGTGGCTGTGCGTATTTACCAGTCCACCAGCAGTGGATACGAGAATTTGAAACGTGGCGGACAATGTGGACCAGCAATAAACTAACAACACAGTAGAGGAGCCTCTGCATCTCATTAGGCTCAGCCTGGAGGAATGCATGTATGTGAAAATGCGGAATCACCGAGAGCTTCGAGGCGGATTCATGCTTATGACCACCACTTAAATAGGGTACTGGGAGATGTGGAAGAAACTGTGACTACTATAGAAATTGATGAAGAGACATATAAGTCAACGAAGCGGAATATTCCGATGCTCTTTGTGCGGGGTGACAGTGTTGTGCTAGTTGCCCCTCCGCTGAGAGTTGGCTGAAACCAAGAATCTGTTCAGAGGGGAAGAGTGGAGCTTCCTGAATGTAGGCTGTCTTCTGAAGAGAAACCTGCGTAAACTTTGATGCTCAGAAGTAACCAAGAGTTCATCCTTCCTGACATAAGTTGGTTTGCCGCTATGAACCAAATGATATTTTAATTTTTATCCCACCCTTCCAATAAATGTAATCACACACACACACACACACACACACACAC